CCTGAAACAGATTGAAAAATTAAATTAAAATAAAAAAAAGCACCGAACACTAATTTCCATGATTTAACAAATGCACACAACAAAGTTTCATGAAACTAACAGTGCAGAAATTCATTGCTAGAAAATACTGTGCCATTACCAATCCAAAAAAGGATTAAAAAGAAGTAAGAAAAATGTTCTGTATGTTAGGTCTAGTTACAAAATCTCTAACTTGCCAATTGTGGTTTGATGATTTAAAGATGAGATTAAAAGTCACTGATGCACAAAGATGTAAACTATGACAATCAACTTAAGAATATGCTAAGCTTTATTGTTAAATTGTAATGTGTTTAGATATATTCTCTTTTTTTATGTAGTAGCCAACAAATACTATGCACGCTGTCTTTGCACAATTATTTATGTGAATACATTTATTCACCTGTAAATTATGAAGTCCCAGCATCCTCAGAGATAATTCAGCTCTTCAGAGGCAAAAACTTTTCATTACAGACTATGCAATGTCTAACATGTTGGTAGCTCCCATATAAGTTACCGCTTTCACATCCATTTAACAAGAACAATAAAAATATTTCCATTTTAAAAAAATCAATACTGTGCTCTCAAGTTATGTATTTTTTGTTTGCACAGTCTGCTGTACTTATTCTACAGCAAGTATCGATCTGTTTCTGTGATGACTTATTTATCACTATTTTACTTCTCAGACAAGTCACAATATTGATGAAACTATGTAACTTCCTAAATTATTCTGTTCATAAATTACACACAGTTGCTAAGAGGAGTGGTGATCATCAGGCTTATATGGGAATAAATATTGCCACGTATTATATGAAACTTCCATGATTGCAAATGATAGTCAGTTTTGGTTGCTCCTGGGAAGGAAACCCAGAATGCTTTGAAACTCAACAGACATTAGCTGAACTTCATTGCCAAACTAACTAACTGGCGCAGAGCCAGTCTGAAAAAAGTAAAAATTCTTTTTGCATGAAAATACTGCTGAAGATTACACTAAAAGGTTGGCAAAAAAATCCAAATGGAACCAAAGAGGAACCATAAATCATAACCAAGCAAGTTATTTCACTGTTCTGCCAGGTACTCATGCACTAGGTCTTATTAGCTCAGGCAGTTTTGGTTTGAGCTCAATACATTTGATGCATACCAGAACTAACAGCCTCAGTGCCAACTGAATGACTGAACAGGCACTCGTGTGTACATCAGTGTTTATTAATTCTCAATCAGCTTAAGCACTGGCAAACAGGTACCTCACACTGCGTTCTTTCTAGTGGGAAAATTGTATTGGGATGCTAAGTCAACTCTGTAGATTTGGATATATTACAATCTAGATAGAGGAGATCTCTGTCTTGACAGGGTGGAGATACTGTTCTGAACTAAAATGCTCTCAGAATAAGTACAAATGCAGCGAAGCTCTGTTGTACTGAAATCTGACTGGAAATACATGTGTATACAGCCAACTCAGCATCCCCACGTGATATGGACCACAGGACCATTTGATTTCAAACAACAGAAGCAGCATGTGCGATTCTGAAAGGCCTACAAATCCTCATTTCATAGGGTAAAAGGAATATCAGAATTAAAAGGACTACCTGTTACATAAAGAACTGTTTATCTTATTTTAAAAAGTCTATTCAAATTTTTATTTATTGCAGCCTGAAATTCAAAGGTCAATGTCAAAATATTATTTTTTTTTATTTTTTTTCTTCAATTACTACAAGGAATCTTCACCCAAGTTGTAAGATACTGTGAACTGCAGCCCCAGTAAGATGGCCCCTATCTGCCATCTTTAAGGAGCTTCAAAGTGAATAAAAACCTGGATTTTGGAAATGAAATAATGCGTCCTTTATTGTTCTGAAAAACTTAATTTTTGTTTTTAATGCCTTCAGAAAGATGTTAAATCAAACATGCCAGCTAGTCTGATCTGCTGCTAAGTGCAATGCCAGTATTTAGTTGATGGAAAATATATAGAAATACAAAATTAATCTCTACAAATAATCAAAGTGCTATTTTTCTTTAGTGTTTTACAGATTTAGCATCCAACGTGCTTCATTATTACAGTGAATTTACTTACTTTCAGGATGATACCTCTAAGATGTAGTAACTATATTTTTGAACTAAAACTATTTATTTTAAATTTTATAATAATTTTAGGCATACAACTAGTATGTACTCAGTAATACTGTACACATGATAATGAATTTACTTTGGTTTTATAATTGAAACAGTATGTATAATATATTCACAGGTCCTTCTTAACCAGCACGGTCCTTTTTGTGCAGTTACAGCTCTGGCCAAAACAGCAGATCTTTATATCATAAAAACAAGTATAGAATTGTAAAAGAAATTCATATTTTTGCACCAAATATATTAAAAATTTACTGTATAGAAAAACACAACTTTGCATTTCAGCAACTAGCAGGAAGTGACAACCTTGTCCTTGTTCAAAGTACTATGAAGTAAAAAAGAAGCAAAGAAAAGAAGCATGATCAAATCCAGCAAAGTATTGTCTTTCTTTAAAATCCAGTGCACCTTCTAAACTTTAACAAATGCACTGAATGTATGACTGTTTATCAGTTTGGCAAACTTTTTACTAATTCCCATATTTTCTATAAGATTTCCTGAATAAACAAGTAATAAAGAAGCAATGAAGCAGCTAATAATTACTACCAGCACTGCAAGGATAAAGAAATATTAATTCTTTCATGCGTAACTGTTAAAAATCTGTCAGGACTTCATGTCACTTGTGAAATGCCTGTGTCCAAAATCCCAACTCAATAGTACTGAGCTGTGAAATGAAACCTTAGAGAATTCTTTCTGCAAGTGGTAATGAACAATTTCACTAAACGTATTCTTTCAGCCAGCTGCTTTAATTTACTTAGCCAACTTCTCAGTTTAAAGACAGTCTCTGCCAACAAAAGAATATCACTTTCATGTCTCAGTCAGACAAACAAAATACATCATGAACAAAAGTTTTATTTATTTTTAATTTTAGATTGGTTTTGCTTTTATTTTTCCCATTCTCATGCAGCAAATGAGATTTGTTTTAGATAACTTTTTCTTTTTTTCTTTTTCATTGTGGCAGTTTGGGGAAAGCAAAAAGCAAAAATAATTGTGACTATGCTAAAGAAGACTTAGGGACAGTACTAATTAGATGCATACTATTTCCATCTACCATGTCTGCTTAAAAATACATCAATTAAATTACTAATCACTGAGTGTTGACTTTGCAGCTTTCAGATAAAAATATCTTTAAATCTCTCTTCTAGAGGAGCCCAAATTTAGAAAATATAGATGATAAAAGCATCTTTAAACCTTTACTAAATATCATGTCATTTTGACACAACATTAACTAGGGTATGTTACAAAAGCTACAGAATTCACAGAATAGCAAAACAGTTGAAGTTGGAAGGCAACTCTTGAGATCATCTAGTCCAGCAACCCCAATCAAGTAACTTGCTACAGCAGGTTGTCCAGAATCACGTCCAGCTGGATTTTTAATTTCTTCACAGATGGAGACTCTCCAGCACTTATGGGCAGCCTATGTTTTATCACCTTTACAATAAAAAGTGTCTTCTCACCTTCAGATTGAGAAACTAGCTGTTCTCTCTGGGTTCATTGTTCTTTATCCTGTCAGAGGGCACTACTGAGAAAGTCTAGCTCCATCAACTCCATTTCCATCCAACAGGGAGGAAATCACACAAACTGACTGGTAAGATCCTCTCTGAGTCTTCTCTACTCTAGATTAAACAGTTCCAGTCTTTCCTCAGATGAGATACTCCAGTCCTCTAATCTTTTTTGTGGTGTTTTACTGGATTTGCTCAAGGAAAGCTGTATCTATCCTGTCTTGGAACTGGGAGCAGACACAGAACAGGACGTATTAGTATATTTGAATAGGGAATATTGCATATAATCTGAAAAAAATATGATAATATCTTTTTAATTAAATTTGACATGGCTATCTGTGGAGCAAGTAAGGTTTTAGGTAGCAAAAGTCATGCTATGTTAATGAAACGGATGGTGGAAAGAAGGAAGAGAGAAGAGATGATGATGGTGTTATTCTCTTTGGATTATAAATGCCAAAGAAAGCAGCAGATGGGGAAGCCAGATGAAGGGCAGTATATGTCCTCAGGTGTCATGTCAGAGAGAGGACAAAGGAGTAGCTATGATCAGATAATCAAAGTCTGAGATCCAGTGACTACTTCACAGCTTGGAAACATTACTGCTTTCCCTCTTGTTCTCCTCAGAGGAAAATACTAGTAAAAGAAGAATTCTATTTTAATAGCAGTTAATAGTGACCACGTTTCCACTTGCTGAGCAAAGCTGATGAAAACCAAGACTTAAACCAAAGAGTATATGAATTTTTCTTATTTTTTCTTGCATGTCCTTAAGACATATTCACCACAAAAAGTGTAATTTGCTCTCACTCAATAGGAATTAAAAATTGAAAGTAATGTCAGGAGATAATGTGAGAACTAGTGGGACTGGGTTAATTATTCTCCTAAAAACAGGATGCAAATTACTTAGATTAGGTAGTAAGAAAAACAACTATAATTAAAAGAGACTCCACAAAGACTACTAGAAGACAGAACATCTCTTTATACATTATTAATAAATTTCAATTTAAGGAGCTAGCATGTTCTTATCAGTTAAAACAGTAAAATAACCTAAAATATAATGTTTAACTTTTTAAAAAGAATGAAAAAGAGAAGAAAATTAGTTTCTACCCCTTCAAAAATAGCACTGAATGGAAAAACATTAGATGTATAACCAGGCATTAGAAGTAAAAAAGAGATAAGGCACATGTTAGTGAAAAGCAATACCAGCTTTCCATGGTAGCAAATACAGAAACAACACTGAATATTTATTTAATCATAAACTATGGCAAAACACAATACCTGTTCAAAAGTTCAAAGATGTTCACTGTGAATGCAATTTCATTTAATAGTACAGCTTGCTTTTTTTCTATTCATCATGATTTTGAAGGATACTCAGTAGAAGAATAATGTGTGATTCTGCAACAAACTGAGCCTGACTGCTTCCATGTATGTAACTCTGAAAAACAAAAATAAAAAAAATCCTCTTCAAAACAAAGAATTCAATTGAATATGATACAGTTAGGCATATGTGAATGTAAACAAAATCTGTTTTGCAGAAACATATAGACTGCAGCAGAAATAACTGAACAACACATACATACGGATCTAAATTTAGTCAAAAGTAATGTTATAAACAACATTTAGGAAAATCATACATATACACAGGATGTAATACTCAATATACAAATTATTTTCACACTGCTAAAGTGGAGGAAAGTATATGCATTTATTTGCTCAGGATATACAGAGAAGTAAAGCTGATAAAATCAAGGACATGCCTCAGCACAGGACTGAATGAAGTTAAAACTGAAACTTAAAATACTGCCTTTAATAAGTCAGCCTTTTTTGCTCTTAGACTGACTGAAGTTACTTCATGAAAACTATATTCCATCCTTTTCAATGAAGGTATTCTTAGATCCATAAAAAATTATAAATAAAACTCATACACAAAATGTTTTGTTCATATAAAATTGTAGCAAACACAATCATGGATGCTAAATGTGAATAATTCCAAATATTCATTGTTAATGAGCTCATTTTGTATGTTGCTTGTTAATACAGCATACAATTCAAAAATCGTTAGTGTTTATTTTTTACTAGCCATGGTATCAAACAAGTAACAAAGACTGTAAACACACAAAATGAACAAGGTTCTCTCTTTTCCTCTACTGTATAAATTACAATTGTTCAATACAGTTCGCTGTGCTACCATATGTGAAATTAAATATATTTTGTTCTCAAAGTATTTTTATACATATTCTTCTGAAGCACAGATGTAATTTTCACCCCAATTAAATAGACAGAAAAATGCTCACTCCCAATAAGGTAAAGAAAAAGGAAACTTCTTGCCCTCCACATGGTTTCAGGGCTTTATTAGTTTGTTTCTTCTACCTCTAACATTTTGCTTTAATTCATTTTATTCTGAATAGTTCTGCCAAAATACCATTGATGTCAAGATTGAGAACAATTCCAATTTGAAATGCTCTGACACTTCAGCATACAAAAGAATGCTTAATCCACACAGGTTAAGTTCTGGTTAATTCACTATCTAAACATGTCATTCATAAGATACTATAAAACATTTTTTACTCAATTGATGGTTATCTACTGCTTTTAAAATTCAACTTATTATGTTCATCCAAATCACCAATTCAAAGCTAAAGCACATAAGAGCTTCATGTATCTAAAGACTCAATCTCTCAAGTAAAATGTCTTTTTTCCTCAAGAAGATAAAGATTACTGATCTCATGTGATTATCTCACTGCAGTATGATTATGACAATAAGCCAATCTATATTTCCTGACTTTTTGTCAGGGCCCCTAATAAATCTCACTAAGGCAAAATAGAGTGATATAAAAAAGGAAGGAAATGAGAATATTTCATAATAAGAAAAATTAAAGGTGAAGTTAAAATGCCTTAATCATCATTCTTTGCTGCCCTGTGCAAAGTGGTATAAAAAAGCTCTTAGCATATGAAACCATAAGTAGAGAACACAATCCTACTGTCAATACAAATATTCACATTTACTCAATCAAATTCATCTCTGTATAAAAATACAGGCTAGATTTAGATTGTTTTATCCATGATTTCCTCCAGCATGGTGATGAAAAAACTACAAAGATTTTCCTCTCCAATGTACTCTGAATCAGTTTCAACCACAGTGCTGCAAATGACGACTGTCACTATTTCTTATGCAGCTAAAGCAATACATACATACATATGCGTAAATACATTTGCTGGATCTGGATTCAAGTGCGCTTAACAGTACATATCTATTTCTTTTTATTGCTATGCCACCAAGTTATAACCTAAGCCTTCTAATAATTAAATATATATTGTATTTGATAATATGAGGTGAAGAAAATAAACAGTGGACTTTCTAACAGAAAAGTGCAACACAGTCTAATAACACTATGTAGTTAATACATACCTACATGCATTCTCACATAATCATTACCGGTTGCTGCTTACACATACACTAAAATGTATGAAAATGTATGAAAGCATACAGTGGGAATGAAAAGAAATACATTCTGTATTGAAGAGTGAACAATTATTATCTTCCTTTAATAAAAGTGGCTGCCGTATTATTATTAAGACTATGAATACCTTCTCTATTTGTAAAATATTTAGATAAGAGCGGTCATTTTTATTGACAAGCTTTATATTCATTTTACAGTTTTAAGTTAGCAATTTAAACCATTGTAACATGATTGACAGAACAGAATTCAAAGCATATACAAGCATACACATGAAATAAGCACAGGAATCATTCTTCTCTTCAAACAGTTCACCAACATTAGATTGCTTAGTTTTCATCCTAAGTTTTCAATTAGAAATCTTTACCTGGCTCTTTACTAAATTCCCCAATAAATTGATTTTATGGCAAAATGTAAAATATATTTATTTATCTCATCATATATTTTTTTTCATTTCAGGATTTTCCAGGAGCTGTTTCCAGGAGAAGCTTTCATGGCACAAAACACATCAGCAGACCAATCTCTCTAAAGATAAATCTTTAAGAACAAAAAATTATGAAAAGAGATATTCTCATTATTACTACCTAGAGGCCAAGACATCAGCAGATACTTAGAAAAATACATGGACGAGACAGAGTTCATTTGCAAACAAAAAGTTTGAATCAAACTATTACAAATGAACATGAAAAGGAACCTGCCTAGAAGACCTAAAGCAAAGATTCTACTTTGAAAACTAGATGATGAATATGAATTTCTGGTTAAACATCTCAAAGGGATTAATGGTATATCTTTTAAAATGTGGGTTGCCAAAGGCATAGTCTTGCTTGCAAGGAAGCAGATGAACTTTGATTCAGTTCTGGAGACTTTAGGTGCATATTAAAAAGCTAATAAGAAACAATTGTTACCTATTGCTCTTTCCCCAGAGAAGGGATAAGAATTGCTGAAAATAAAGCAAGTAGTTTCTTAATTGAGAAAAACCTCACCACCATACCACAGTTAACTAAGACATAAAAAGATGTCAGGTTAACTTAAAAGGGATATAGAAAGAACACTAGATGTTTTATAGATGTTTATTGTCCATAAATACATATATTTCTTTTTTATTTTATCTTTTTACATTCTATTCCAAATCTGCATAGGTAAGCTATCCTTTTATCTCTCTATACCCCTTTTAAAAGGGGTATAAGGACAACACTAGATGAAATGTTAAATTGATGTTTATTGTCCATAAATACATATATTTTTTATTTTATCTTTTTACGTTCTATTCCAAATCTGCTTAGGTAAGCTATCCTTTCAAGATATTTAGTAATAAACTTAAGGTAATCATGAGGCTCCTTAGACTGTTCCCCCTGCCATTATTCTCCAAATACTCAGATGGTACATCTCTACAACAGCAGCAGGTCAGTCCAAGGAATGGCACTGCAGAAGCTGAGAAAGTAGAAGTCTGTTTCAGTGACAAAGGATAACAAAAATAACTTGCATTTAACAATATAATGTGAATCACCTGAGTTTGACACTGACTGAACCTACATCAAATGGGGAATGTATAATAACTACTGCATGTAAAGAATTACTTGTGCTTTTTCTGCAATTAACTTTCATATCTGTATCCTAAAAAATAGACAAAAGCCAGAGTAGAACATTTTAGAAGATGGAAGATAAGTAGCTAACTCAAAAACAATGGCAAACAGCTTTTCCTGAAAAGACAATAGTCAGAACGATTTGGCATTTATCCTCGTGTGTCTTACCCTACAGGTAGATAATGACACTATGAGGCTACTCAAGAGCTCCAGATTTATTTCCACAGATATCGATTTACACATACGTAATAATAGTTTTATATACTATGATGGCCACTGTCTCATCAGATTTTGAAATTCATAGCCATCTGTAGCTCATACCTACCTAAAACAGAACACATTTAATGACCACATGCATATATATATGTACATATATATATATAATGATAAATCAACTTTACAACATTTTTCAGCCAGTTTTCTCAACAGTTGAATTGTGATGCACAGCACCTTTTAATTGCATAAAGTTCTTGAATTTTCATTATCTTGAATCCAGATAACTAAAATAAGGGAACTGGTTATGTGAGGAGTCTTTATTTTTCACAATTCCTTCCCTTTGTAAAATTGCTGAACAACCTACATGAAAGGCATATATTTTTGTGAAATTTTATTTGAGACTACAAACTACTAAGGGACTGAGAAGATTTCCATTTTTGCTATCTTTTCTGCTTTTTGACACTTAATCCACTTCACATTTGGAAACTCTGTGAAGTCTATCTGGCTGAGAATGCTCTAGGCAAATGCTTTAAATAAACTCATGAATAAACTCAGTATTTTTCTTTCATTTTAGAAGCATCTAGGGGGAAGACCATATAAAGCAGAAGTCCATCAGAACAGATGCAATCACAAAATTATCACAACTGAGACAACAGCAAATGCTGTGCAAGAAAGATTAATAGTGGACCTGAAATATGAGTGGCTAACTCTTTGAACAACGTGTCCTTTTACAGCTCTAACATTGTCCTATCTCAGGTTTAATTTCTCAGAAGCAATTTGAATTGCTAACTAAAATAACAATTTAGCTAAATCAGGCCATTATATTTGGCAGTTACAAACAATTGTTTACTAAATGCAAATTTCTATGAAGTACTGTTAAATATTTATCTACTATTTGTAAACTCATTAAATATTTAGTGTGATAGAACTGCAGATGGCACATACATATAATCCCTCACTGAGCTATTCAAGGATAACAACAGTGTAATACATTTTTAAATTTCCCTAAGTACAGCATATGCTTGTGATTCCCCTTCAAGACTAATAGTTGTCACATTCAGTAAATTACTTGAGTTAAATGTTATCTGTACTCTATTCTCTCTTTCTGTTAATGCTATATAAATAAAGCAATCAGGAAAAAAAAGAAGGAAAAAAAAAAAAAGCATCTGTGAGTTACATGTATGAAGGCAGTATGATTAACTTCTGGAGTCTTGCACTGAAGCCAAAACATGATTTCAAGTATTCTAGTATTCTTTCCTAAAAATAAATGAAAGGGCTGATCTCGAAGTAATGTCTCCTGTTTTGTTATGCCGACCCACAACATTAAAGGTAGATGGTAGTGGTAAGGCAGTAGAGATTGAACCTCTCTACCGATATTCTGTTAGAATTTGTTGACTTGTGACAGATGGCAGCAGAGGAGGAGTCTGACAGAATAGTGTCTGAAAAAAGCTGCCAGCAGTACTGTGAGGAACAGCTTGATTTCACATGTGGCTATGGTGAAATTATATGAGACAGCCAGTACTCACAAATTAACCCTGGGGAGGACTTTCAGGGCCTTTTGGATAGTTAAATCTTGTAAAACAAGGAGGACTCACAGAACAGTATCAGAAACGCAAAAGGTGTGGTTATGGATATAATGAATGGGGCAGATTGCTCATTTGGGAGGAGAAAAGTGAGGAAAAAGAGATAAAGTGGATGGAGGAAGAGCAAACATGGGAAAAAGGCAAGAAAGGGCAGGAGGAGATTGCTGAATGTAAGTAGGATGTTAGTTCCTTTGTCTGACTGAGCCCTGCCTCATCACCAAAGCCTGATCTCCTTCCTTAGTCAGCTCTTACTAGGTCAGTTTTTGTGTGTTCTGTATTCCGTGCATGCGACTGCTAGAGAACTTCTGTCTAGAGGAGCTGCTAAGAAAGAAAACATGCCTTGGTGCCAGCAGTTGGAGATAAGAGCCATGGTTCAGCAACTGGAGAGGACTGGGAGCTGTGGCCAGCTACTACTCCAGGTGTCTATGTAGAGCAGTATGTGTGACCACCAGAAAGCATTTATGATGATGAAAAGGGAAGAGCAGGATTAGAGTGCTAGTGTTGGCCCTGTGTACATGTGCTCTGCTTTAAGGCAGGTGTTGGTTAAGGCACTGTTCTCTGAACAGATTCACACAGTCAGCATGTCAGTGCCATGTGTATCTACATGCTTGGCCACTGGGACAGGATGCATCCCAGGGACTTAGGAACCCTGCGGTTTCAGTCCTAGCAAGCAGGGAAGGAAAGCTGTCATAGGGCCCTGCACACTGGATTTGGCTTTGTGCAATAATTTCATTTCATACTGCACAGAAAAGCAAACAGGTGACAAATCAAAGGAGGTGAGGACTAACTAGCTGATCACCTCTGAAACTGCTTGCTGATCTCCTGAAGTGGAGGGGAAAAAAACGCATCTGCATGCTTTACAATTATATGGGAGGCCTGCTGTGAAACAGCTGTACATCTACATGACAACAAAGATGGCACAGAACTCAGCTACAGACAGACAAAGAAACAAAATATCCAGATTACATCTTGTCTACATTAGGTTTTATCACACTATACCCAATCTAAACCTATTTTCTGCCAACTACTTTCTGGGGACTAAATTCTATTCAACCTGTTTTGAATGTTTATAATTTAACACTTCATACAGTAATATATCCAAATTTAGATCACACATAGAAGAAATCTCAAGATTAAGACTATCTCCTAGAAAGGAGAACTTGCCAAATTCAGGCTAATATAAGTAGAAAGAGGTAAAGTAACACACTAGTTAATTACTGCAAAATAAATTTATAAACTCCACACAAGCGGGATAAAACACTATCAATTTGTCTTAATTTAGCACATTAACATTCAGGATGAAATTCATCAAAAAGAGGAACATTATGCAAAGCTATGGATTACTTAATTATGAGCATGTCTTCAGAATGGCCTACTTCGATTACAGTCAATCAATTTTGCAAAGAACTTACATTAGCTGTAACAATTTGTTATTCTCTCTTGATCTATAGAGCAAATAAACAATAATAAGAACACTATTACACCAGAGTTCTTCATGTTTTCAAATTAACATCCAGGAGTACCTTAACTGTCTGCAGTACTTAAATTCTTAAAATGCACAAGTTTTATAACTCTCTCACAATACTATTCATGTACTTTATCATTGTAAGTGTTTATGCAGAAAAAGGCCAAACATGTTATGGAGAAATACTAATTCATTTGGTAAAGAAACACATCAAGGTCAAACACTTGGATAAGTTTTTACTGTTTGTTTTCATGATTATGTATGAATTTCTACAGGAAGATTCAGCGGAACAGTGAAACACATTCAGGCTCATAGCTTTCAAACTCCTTCATTGCAGCTTCTTGTTTACATATCATGCTTTCTAAAGAACAACATAGTTTCACCTGGAGCATGCTCTCTAAAATATCCTTATTACTAGATAACAGTACCTGTTGAGTTCATACATACAAATAAGAAGTTGAACTTAATTTAAGAACCCAGTAGGCTATGAGTTTATCTTAAAGAGTTTAATACTGAAAAAGTAAATAAATATTTGAAGTAATATCTCTATCAAAAGTAGAAAAACATCCTAAGTTGTGACTCCATTTACTAATGATCTCAGAAACATTTGACTAATCTAATCATATATTAATTTCCAAAGTTACGATAATGTTCAAATGCTTATTATAGCAATATATTTTTAATATAGATATGCAGTAATAAAAAGACATATCTGCAAATGGTGCTTAACTGCTTCACAGCTGAAGGTAGTATTAAAAACAAAATAAATATAAACTCAGTCCTAATTTAAAAATTGATATAATAAATTTGTTTCTGGCAAACTGAAAATATATCACTACAGCAAGAAATGGGCAGTAAATACTTGAAACAGCAGTTTTTTCAGGGATCTTTCTTTTATTTAAGAATTAAATAAGATCAGTTTAATTTAACTGTAACCAACAGGAAATAAACTTTAGAAAGCTACTAGCTCTGTGAACATCTCCAATCAAATGAAAGCCAACAGAATGCCACTCCAGTGAAAATTTTATTTGTTGTGTTGCTAGTACGTACTCTCTCTAAACAATGTATCCTCTACATGAAATCTAATTGAGCTTAGCTACAAATCAACAAGATGAGGACTAAGAAAACAGTTACAATGCACACACAAAAACTGTGAGACCAAATTACTAGAGGTAGTGTCTATTCACTTAGTAATTTTGTTCAGCTTATGCTCAAGCTCTGCATGGTACAAAAGTCAGGCAATCTAGAAACTCAGCACTGGAACTCCCAAATGAAACTTGTTATATGTTAACCAATCCCAACATCCTTGCTTTGACTGTTAGTACAGATGTTGAGATGACCTCTTACCTAATGTGACTGTAAAACATATAAGCTACATTGGATTAGGTGTTTTAAATGCTATGCATAACTTCCTTTGCGTTTAAGAAATACATTGAGAATCTTAAAAAATTATGTACTGTAGCTAGGCATAACAAACTCATTCAGACTCCTTGGTTCACTTGTTAATTAGTTGATATGAGTTATATCTTCCATGCCTGAGCTCTCTGCTGCATTCACTGTTGCCTCAAACCAAAACAGTTCAGAGAAAGCAGCCAGCTTTCACAGGACTGGTTAGCTGAGACAGACTGTGCTGGCTGACTTCCACAGAGTCCATCTGGAACTGAGCATAGAATACGATTTGGGTTCCCAAGCCTAGAGCAAAAGTGAAGAGATGCTGCTTAGTTTTGCCATCTAACTGGCTGGGAAAGGTAGTTGGTGTAATTTAAGATAGTATACAAATTCTGGTTTATACTACTTAATTTGATTGCCTCTAAACAGCTTTTACTGTATTATTTGGAGCATCTAGAAGTTTTATTAAAGAAATTATTTAGTAGAGGTGATCATGCAATCCAAAAACTGTGAACTCTGCTGAGCTATGTAGCTTTAATACTGAATAAGAAATTATCCTACTGAGAGAACTTTTTTTTTAGTAATTTATTAATTACTAAATAATAACAAGACAGAAAATACAGCAATCCAATAATGAATCACTGCTTAGTGAATTTAAGAGGAAAAAAAACAAACTTGAACTCTCATTAGAATAAAATAATTTTTACCTTTATGACATTGAATTCCCAAGGTACCTTAAAGACTGGCAAGCAACAAATTTATTTTCCCTGAAAGGGCATTATGACACACAGTATGCACGTGAGAGACTGTAACAGAGATGAAAATAAAATTTTCAGCATCTTTGAAATACAGTACAGTAAGAAAGTTTACACAACAAATTAGCCAATCAGGCTAAAAGAAGGAAATTTTGTAGCTGTGATGCTTTGCTCAACAAGTTAGCAACTTTTAAATCAACTTATAAAAGGAGGACAAAAATCTCAGAGAAAAATGATATTCCTACAAACATTATTTCAGCCAGAGATGAGCATTAAATGAATTACATTAGTGAAAGTTGAACAATTGAAGTTCAACTATTACTAGTTATTTTGGAATATGTTTGCTTGCTTACCATGCAGAAGGCAAACTATAGTCAGGAAACCCAAACTTCTAATCTGGAAACCAAAACAGAAGAATGAATTATGTAATTCCAAATTACTAGAGCCCATACCCAATTAACAGCAATGGGAGAACATGAGGAACAATCCTGAATCTGGTGTAACTACCTATCTTGAGAACAGTAGATGCAGCTCCTGATTCAGCTGCACACAGTTTAGGGAAATACTAAGTTATTTCAACTTTAGGTTTCACAGACTAACAGCAAGCTTCAGAGTAACCTTCATCACTTTTTGGAGCTGCATATAATCTTGTGCAGGTATAATGGGAATATTTGTACATTTGGAGCATTGTTTTAAATGCTAAGTAACTAGGGAAGGAGAAATACTAATTATGCATGACCAGCAAAATTAAGCATGAAAACTTAAAATATTTATAACTGTGGTGTTTTTTTTTTTTGGTTTTTTTGGGTTTTTTTTTGTTTTTTGCATTAACAGATCTAAATATGGCTTCTTCAACTAGAACAGTGTGCAATGATCCTCTCTATTAGTCTATATAATTGACAAATTAGATACAGCCTGAACAGGAAAAACAGACTAATCATTCCCGCCAGAGTCACTTTTAGCATCAACTAAAGCATAACCTGCATATAACCTTAACACTTATTTTAAAAGGAAGTATCTGAGTGAATACAGTATGAATTAACAAACGAATAAAAAAAAAAATTAAAAAACTATTACTTGGTCACAACTGTGGATCTCTCATCCCCTGTTAGCTACATTTTTTAGTGTAAACAGTGGATCACTGAAAGGAAGATTGATGGCTAACTGACTTAAAATGAACAGTAGGGAATATAACTCCAGTTGCCATTACAGAACAACAATCATATTAGTATTAATGACTTTGCTTTCAACTATTTGCGTTTACTGTTTGTTTGACGGATGATCACAAAAAGCAAAGGATGCCTGGGTAGAAAAGAAAGTAACCATTTCAAAAATTCTGAACATAGTTTTATAAACAATTTTTCATTACATGAATTACAGTCACATAAATATGGGTATGCCCTTGGATTTGGTAATCATATGACAACAAGCCAGAGCAAAGCCTTAATTATTATTCTTTATTGAAGCCAATTTTATGTACCAATGTGAGAGGTTCTTTTAGGTTCTTTACAGAGAGAGGGGTAAGGTGCTGGAACAGGCTGCCCAGAGAGGTTGTGGATACCCATCCCTGGAGGTGTTCAAGACCAGATTGGATGAGGCCCTGGGCAGCCTGGTCTAATATTAAATGTGGAGGTTGGTGGCCCTGCATGTGGCAAGGGGGTTGGAGATTCATGATGCTTGAAGTGCCTTCCAATCCTGGCCATTCTGTGATACTGTGAGAGTGTAAAGTGTCAGTATTTAAATCATTAAAAAGGAAGAACTATATTTTCCCTATAGCAGAACATTTATTATTCCATTATCAGTGCTTATAAATATCTAACAGGCTGGAGTCAAGCATTTACAGCCTTTAATTGACATCAAGCTACAGAACAAGGGACAATGGACACAAACTGGAACATAAGAAGTTCTGTACGAACATGAGGAAAAACTTCATTAATTATGAGGATTACAGAACACTGGAACAGATTGCCAGACGACATGGAGGTTGTCTTCTATGGAGATAATCAAAACTCACCTGGATGCTTTCTTGTGCAGCCTATTGTAGGGAGCTGATTTAGCATGTGAGTTAGACTAGATCATGAGATTAACATAGGACCCTTCCAACCTTCACAATTCTGTGATTCTGTTTTACAGTAAGATACCAGTTTAATAATCCAAAGCTTTAAATACAGAAGCTTAAACTTTATTACATACTACAGCTCCACAGTATTACATATTAACATTACTCTTGGGATAAAGAGAACATCTCTAATCCAGCTTTTAAGAAATCTGAATTCAAGCAAACAACACTTGAAGAAAACTTATTTACATTCCTTCTTTAACTTTTTTTTTTTCCCAAGACTTATTTTTTGTATTTAATCTCTCTGCTCTCCACACCTCTACAAGCTACCTTAGTAACTTCATCACAACCGAAAACCCACATCTAGACTAGAATTTTCTCAATGAAAAAAAAAGATACATGCTTATTGTCTTCTTCCAAATATAATCTCTCTTATTTAGTCTTTGTTTCAGGTAATTAATACTTACAGCTTTACAGAGAGTCAAAAATTCAGAAGAGAAAATGGATCAGAACCAAGTAAGACCTGATGTACTGCTTTTTCACATTCACATCAATATTCTAGAATAAGCCTAAATTTTATAAAGAATTGTTCAGCTGAGTTATTAAAAAAAATTACGCCCAGAGCAATTTTCTGCATGGCAGTTTGGGTCTAGTTAGACTATTTTATAAAAAGTACTGCTGACATGACATAGAAATTGAGCAAAATGAAGCCTTTACCAGGACAAACTGAGAACAAAGGAATCACTCCATGTTTGGAATATAAAATTTGAAAGTAGACAGACTTGACAAATAGGAATTTATTTCACAATAACAAATGATTTGAATCCATGATTTATGAAGGCAGCTGTGGGAGTCACTTATTTAAATTCGTTGTTTAGCACACTGGCAGATATTACCTAATTATTAGAATGCAAGAAAGCACATTTTTTTCAACAGATGTGTTATACCATTAAGCATCTTATCTTGTACTTCAGCAGCTACCAAATTTATAATGATGTATTTCATATAGTTCTGTTTAGCATTGCAAGCATTAACTTAATATGCTATAAAAGCTTGTAGGTAAAAATTATATGTTATGACACAAAATCTCAGACGTATCTACAGTGCTGCACTTAACAAGTATTCCAGCCTACAACGAATACAAATCAAATATTGCTATGGGTAAGAGAAGCTGCAATTAAAGTTCCTTCTGTCAGCCATCTCTAAGAAAACAAACAAACCCAAAGTCAAGAACTCAAAAGTTACATGACTGCAAAAAACAACTAAGTTCAAAATGACCATCATTCAAGATTATACAGAAATATTTAAAATGCTAGCTTTACTATAGAAGTCATAACAAATAATACCTAGAAGATGAAAATCAATAGACAACAGAACTTTCTCATGTACTCAGGAAAAAGTAACCTGAGGCCTAATTAGAGATTCTGGTAAGACATAACAACTGCTTGCTCATGTGAGACTTTTGACAGCTGCATACACAGAAGTTAAAAGATTTTTACAAACATTTGATTGTGAAATTGTAGTACATTTCCAGCTCCGGAGAGAATAACCTTAGTCACACTCTACAGATATCAGAAGTTGGTGTTTGACTCAAAGTTCAACTAGGTCTAAGTTCATAACACTACTCAAATTTAAAATTTTACTTTCATGACACATTTTGGTTTTGGAATTAAAAAAAAAACCAGAACAATTAATAGGCCACTACTCACTGTTTAATGATAGAAGGGAGTGGTATAGGACCAATAGTTTATTTTGCACTGGCTAGAAATCTTCTATTTTTGTTGTAATGAACTGCTCAGATGTAAGCTATGAACAAAGACTGAGAATTTCCCCAGAAAAATTTTGTTTTGCTGCTTCAGTTTTGAGTAAATCTTACTGCATAATTCTAATATGAGAGAAGTAAACATACTCAGGATTACAATACATTAAGCACGCACAAACTAAATTCCCAACCACATAAATCTTTGAAGTTGCAATTGAAGTGACGGTTAGATTTTCAAGTTAGACTGTAGTAAACCCTCAGCAGTTTGAAAAGAAATGCTATTAATTTAGGCAAGGTTGGTGAAAAGTAAAACCTAAGATGGTTCACAGTTTAGAAGAATATGTTGATTTGACCATTAAAACATTAAATACTGATGACAACAACTGTATGGAGCTCACATAGCTATATTTTGTTAGTAGGGGGCTGCAGGGACATCTCTGTGAGCAGTGCCCAGCAGCTGTCCCCTGTCAGATATGAGCTATTTCCAAACAGCTCCAAAACAGACCCATCACTGCCAGAGCTGAATCCATCAGGAACACTCATTGTACCTCTGGGAGAGCAGATTTAAGGGAAGGAAGAACTAGTGTGCAACAACAGCTGAGAAAGAAGAGTGAGAAATATGAGAAAAGTAGCCTTGCAGCCCGCAAGGTCAGTGCAGAAGTAAGGTAAGAGGCGCTCCAGGCATGAAGCAGAAGTTTCCTGCAGGGGAAGGAGAGGTCCTTGGTGGAGCAGGCTATCCATCTACAGCCCATGGGCACCACACACAGCAGATCTTCATGTGCAGCCATGGAGGAACCCATGTTGCATGCAGCAGTGGATGTGCCTCAGAGGAGGCTGCAGCCCATGCACAGCCGTGCAGACGCAGCCCTGGGCTGGAGGTGCAGCCCTGGGGAGAGGAGCCTTTGGTGGGGCAGGAGGGCTGAGGGAGCTGCCACATTTGGGAACCTGTGCTGGAACAGTCTGCTGCTGATGGATGGGCCCTGAGGCATGGAACCACCTTGGAGCAGATCTTGGAGGGCTGCAGCCTGTGAGAAACTCACGAGATCAGTTTGGGAAGGATGGCATCTTGTGGGAGGGACTCCACATGAAGCAGAGGCAGAGTGACCATAGAAAAGCAGCAGAGATGAAGCATTATGGACTGACCACAGCCCCATTTCCCTGTTCCCTGCATCACTTGGGGTGAGGAGATAGAAAAGGGTGGAGGCATTTTTAGTTGGCCTTTAGTTTGCACTGCACTAGTTTGTTAGAAACAGGCAAAAAACAACATTAATCTCCCTACATTTAGTCTGTTTTGCCTGGGACAGCAATTGGTGATATCCCTGTCCTTATCTCAACCCATGAACCCTTTTTCTTCCCCTGTTCTTTTGAGGATGGATACTGAGAGAGACAGCTCAACTCCATCACACTGCTATCAGTATGAAACAACTACCACAACACATTTTTTGTAATAGCATTTGTATGTTAAATGTGAAAGCATTGTGACGCCTGAAAGAGGTTGAAGAAGTTGAAAAAGAGAGATCAACATCTCATCTGACAGGGCTACTGAGAATAGGCCAAAAAAAAAAAAAACCAAAAAAACCCAACCCAATAACAACAACAAAAAAGCAGAACAAAAAAGCTAAATAAGCAAATAAAAATCCATAAGATTAATTGCTCACATGAATTTCTGAAAAGCTGATATACCATGAAGGAGATGGTAAAGTAAATCCAGGGAGATGTTTAAGATTCTCAGTGCTGTTATGAGTTTAAATGCAAAGTATCACTTTAAAAAAAATGAATTAGAAGAGATGGAAATAACACAAAGAAACCATAAGAAGGTGAGAGAATATTACAGTGAAACATAAACAGAAATAAAATACAAAATAGAGCACATACCAAACTGTTCTCCCAATTTAAAAAAAAAAAGTAGAGAAAAGTTCAAGGTCTGAAAAGCATTTCTAT